CCCTCTCCAGACCATTCTCAGCTCTGCCGGAGCCTTCCAACCCTCCTTCACGTCCCTCCTGACAGTTTTGGCCCCGCTGTCCAGTGGCCTGTTACATGAGATGGGATTGGTCTCTTTGTTCTTCATGGGAAGTTTTAGAAGCTTAGAGTCCACTCCGATGACAACAGCTTCATTTGTTGCGTGCTTACCGTATGCTTTGCACTGCACGAAATCCCTGTACGTGCCTGCCAAGCCCAGGGAGCCCCAGGGGCCATCTTGTTTCATTATCACGATGCTCCTACCAGCTAAGTACAATTATGCCTATTTTTCAGAGTAGGAACTAGAGGTTTAGAGACTTTAGTGAGCTGTCCAAGGACAATGGACACAGAGCAGCACCAGAATTCCATCCCAGGCCTCGCATTTAACCCCATTCACTACCCCATTCTACCACTCTCCAGGATGGGTTCACCTTCCTTTTCGCCTTGACACATATATCCGAGGCTTTTTGAAATACTCTGTTGACAATAGTTCAAGATGCACACTCAAAAATACAGGCATTGTATGATACAACTGTCTTGACTGTAAGGTCAGGAGATTTTTTTGAGTCCTATCTGGGCATGAACTCACATAGAGCTTTCTCTCTCACACAAATGTTATTTCGGGTACAGTGATGCACCAGGCGTATTTTTAAGTCTAACCAGGCATAACACACCCATCTAAATAAACATTGGAGTGTATTGTAATTGACTGTGTAATGAGATGTTAAAACCCTTTGTCTTAGCTTCAGCTGAGACTACCCCATGTCCCCAAGTGGGCTCCCTGACGGCCATCTCACGACTCTGTCCTGCTGCTCCCCTCCTGCATCTGGGGACGGGGAGGAGGAGGGAAAACGCCAGTAACTTTCTCCAAAGCAATTCCTGCTGTCCAGTCTCCAGCTTCCCTCTTGGCTCCGCCAACTGTGGTGTGGTCTGGAGGGAGGCAGGCAGCCAGGCATCCCGGCTCTTGGTCACTCTCTTTGGAAGTCCAGCTTGGATGTCCAGTAGCCCCATTTGAGATGACTGAGTGGTTGTGTCTCTTGGGCTTGGGGGCACAGTGGCCTGGTGTCTTGCTCATGATTCAGACATCTACAGGAGAGGGAAGAGCTTGTGGCAAACCGGCCTCTGTGTCAGCGTCAGCCTGGGGTCACTTTAGGTGCTGCCCAAGCCAGGTGCACGGAGGGCTGGGGAGGCCACAGCAGGAGGCACAAGAGAGGGAGCGCCGGGTGTTCAGAGGCTGAGCAAGGACCCCTGTAAGCCCCCAGCCAGAGCAGACCCGATGTAACAGCACCTGGGGTTCCCAACGAATGGGGAGCAGCTCCGAACCCGTGGCAGTGCCCCATGTGAACGAGAAATCCCTGTACGTGCCTGCCAAGCCCAGGGAGCCCCGGGGGCCAGCTTACATCAGTATCCGCTTATAAGGCCCTTCTGTCCCCTTACCTCTCCGCTCTGTACCCACTTCAGCTCTGGGCAGGAAGATACTGCTGTTAGCAGCCAAGGGGCAGAGGGGTAGAGGCACAGAGCAGAGAGAGAGAGAATCCAGTCCTGCCCCCTTCCCCACAGCAGCAGTTAGGCCCGGGGGCAGGGTGAAGCTTGAAACTGTGCATGCCATTGTTCAGTTTTTCAGCATTACTTAAGTGTTACATCCATATTAATGACCACACTGATTGTTTGGGGGTGTAATGTAGGCAAGGTCTTTTTAAAAATTCTTAGTGTGGCCTGAAATATTAAGGGACCCACTCAGATTTCATCCAGGGCAGAGGCCAGAGCCGCAGGTGGGGTGTGTGAGTGGGCAGTGGGGGGCTCCTGGGGGAACTTGAGGAGCATTAGGATAGTGCCCTCCACGTCGACTTGTCCAAGTACCTCCACACGAACTTTCCTCTTCACTCTGCCTGCTCCAGACACCGTGGCCCTCCCAAGCATGGCGCTACCTCAAGGCCTTTGCATTTGCTCTTTGGTCTGCCTGGATTGTTCTTCCCCCCCCAAGTATTCACATAGGTTGTTCCATGGCTTCCTTCACCTCTCTCTCTCTGTTTAAATGTCCCTTTATCAGACATTTATCTAACCATGCAGTGCAAATCATCACTTCATCTCCCTGCTCTGTCCAGCCTCTTTAGTCTATGTTCTTAGGTTTTTCACAGCCCATAATACCACCAATGTTCCCCAGATTGGCAAGCTGTAGGGGAACGGAGACTATTTTGTTCACTCTTCTTCCCAAGCATGTAGAATTATAATGGCACATGATGGTGGCTCAATAAATATTTGTTGTTCCTGTCATTCAGTGTTATCTCTGCTTCCCCAAATTCCTTTTACCTTTTGGACTATAGATTCACTCGCTCTATTATATAAGCAAAGCCAGTCTGGGCAAGCTGACTCGCACCTTTACTTCCAAAGCCTGTTTTCTCTGTCTGGGACACAGAGGAACCCGGAGGAGGGAATTCACTTAGCATTGAGATGCCAGTGACCTGATCTCTTGGAAACTAAACACTGGGTTCCCCTGAAGGAATAGTTTCTCTCTCTCTCTCTTTTTTTTCTTTTTGAATCTGAGAAGAAAGAATGCAGAGAGTCCCTTCCCACTATAGCCTGAAGGGTGGTTTTTATGAATTTTTACCACATGTCCACACAAAACTTTAGCCTTTCTTTCACTGAAGGAAGGAATTTGAGAAATTTTTACTAGAGTCTTGTCAATGTAGAGACCCTTACCGGGGAAAGTGCTTCTCTCAAGTCTGAGTCATTAGGAAACGAGTTTCTTTCTGTGCCTTGCTGCTAACTGAGCCCTGGAGTGAAGATAAAGGACACCTTTTGGGGACCGGCTACTCCTAGGGCTTGATAATGAGCTCCGCACCTCAGCCTTCCCCCGAGAGTCAGGTTCTACCCAACACACCTGAAAAGTGTCCTTAAGTCAGGAGATCATCTAAGAATGACAGAAATAAAAAAACTTCAGTTCCTCTCCATCAGGGTTACTCTTGTGTCTCTACTTGCAGGAAGGAATAGTTGCTTTGGAATTTACTTGGCTTGAAAACAATGTTTTCAGGGATGGCAAAGATTAATTTGGTGCGGTGACAGGAAAACCAGGGGCATGTGTACTCATTGCCTGGTAGGTTAAGAACGTGAGCTTTGGAAATAGACTGCTTGGGTTTGAGGTTGAGCTCCGTCGCCTACTAGCTATGTGACCTTGGACAGTTTACTTAATTTCTCAGTGCCTCAGATGTCCCATCTGTGAATAGGAGTAGTTACAACCTACCTCATAGGGTTGCTGTTAAGATTCAATGAGTGAATATATGAGGAGGGTTTAAACCAGTGTCTGGCACACGAGAAGAGCTGTGTGGGTGTCAGCAAGTACAATATTTTGTTGTTCGGTGGTGGTTAATCGTGAGTACTGTCATCAATCTCGTCATTTTTATCTCATCCTCTTGCAGACATGGTGCATTTAGACTCTAGCTGAAGACTCTCTAGAGGCAAAGCTGCCCAGGTTAATTATGGCTGATTTTGGGACTTGTTGGTGAAGGAACCATATGGGTTTGTGACTGCCATTGAGCTAAATTCTTCTAGGGCCCCAGAAAGGGAGCGATTCAACACCCGTGTTCCTTCCTACTCTCTCAGAGATTTATAAGGATCTTCAGCCCATTCTCATGGAAATCTTCTAGATGATGGTAGGACAACTGAACCAATCAAATAGCGGAGGAATGATATCTAGCACTTTCAAAAAGAATTGAAAAAAGCATCCAGTGAAGTAATAGGAAGCAGAAAGGAGCCTACACATTTTTAAAAATTGTAACATCAAAATAAAACACAAACACCAAAATAGTCCCTAAACTGAATCTAAACCAAACTAGTATTCCTTTTGATCCAAGACCCGCGGCTTGTAGATTTGACTCAGAAGAGGACTTTGGCATCCCATTATCTCAGTTCACCTTTCTCCCTGAGGATATTAACACTGGAATGTGGCAATGGATTTCATCTGAGCCACAACATCTGCTCTGTGGGGGATTTGCCTAATGCAGGTTTGCCACACGACGTGCAGCTTTTAGAGGTCTCAACTCAGAGCATCGCTTGGTGCCTGCTTTGTGCGCTCCCCAGGCAGCCCCAAGCACTTCAGATAGGCAGTCTCTAAGGAGATTTCTTTAAGATTTGCAATCTGTTGAAGTGGAAAAGTTTTCTAGTTGATTAAAAACAAATTCTAAATCCCGTATCCACAACTGTTTGTGTAATGGATGAGGTAACCGTAGAAAAATGCAATAAACAAGACCAAAATAGTCTTTGCTCCATTGTGAACGTGGACCTCTGGGAATCTCGTTGGATTTTGGTCCTTCAGCTCCTGGTCTGCAAACAGGAACTCACCTAGGTGATCTCACACCGACTTAAATGTGTGTGTGTGTGATTTTTTAATTAAAATTTTACTCTTTAGTTCCAAAATTTGTTTGGTTCTTTTTTTTTTTTTAAGATTTTTTATTTATTTATTTGAGAGAGAGAATGAGATAGAGAGAGAGAGCATGAGAGGGGGGAGGGTCAGAGGGAGAAGCAGACTCCCTGCTGAGCAGGGAGCCCAACACGGGATTTGATCCAGGGACTCCAGGATCATGACCTGAGCCAAAGGCAGTCGCCTAACCAACTGACCCACCCAGGCACCCTGTTTGGTTCTTTTTTATGTTGTCTGTGTCTTTGTTGAACTTATTTTGTTCTTACGTTGTTTTCCTGATGTCATTAAATTCTTTAGCTGTGTTCGCTTGTGATTTCTTTGTCGGGTGGTTCATGCATCTCCATTTCTGGAGGGTTAGTTAATGGAGGTTTCCTGTGTTCCTTTGGTGATGTCATTTCCCTAGTTCTTCACGACGCTCGTAGCTTTGCGTAGGTGTTGAGTTACCTCTTCTAGACTTTATGGCCTGACCTCAGTAAGGGAAGGTTACTTTGGTCAGGTGTCCTCACTGGTGGGTGGAGGCATGCTGGGGCGCCCTGTGACTCTGGGTCCAGTGGGGCTTGTGGTACCTTGTGGCTGCTGAGGTCCCCAACATTGACAACCGGGTAGTCCTTGGTGAGCATGTTGGGGGTATCTGCAAGGGCTGTTCGGGTCCTTAGAGACCAGGGTAGGCAGTGGTGACAGCCAGAGCTGGTGGTGTGCATGCAGGACCTGCAGGGGTCAGCTGCAGGGGCCTGGGTCTCGGCAGGGGCCAGGTGCAGACACACGTGTCGTGGCAAGAACCAGGCCCTGCTGCTGGTGCTCTAGCAGGTGTGGGCCCCTGACTGTCCTCATGTACTCCCATGGCTGCAGGGTCTCACCACGCGCTGTGCACAGCGGTGGAGGCTGGTGACAAGAGTTGGGCCAGCAGGGCACAGGTGCACCCCCTGGAGAGGCCAGCTGCCGGTGAGCCCAGGGATGCAGGCAAATGACAGGAGTTAGGGCTGGATCCGGGCTGACAAGGGGCTGTGGAGGCCCCGGCTGTTGGCGTGCACTCCTGCAGCTTAATTAAAAATTAGCAACCAGCACAATATCCAACAGCCATTGCTGACACCGCAGCTAAATTTGTCCTGCTCTACTGCTCCTTTCTTTACCTATTCTTTGCACTCACAGAAGCTGCTCATCGCCACATGCACAAGGACCTGTCATACTTGTAAAAGGTAGCAGGTCCCCTGGGCAATTCTCTAGCTCCCCCTCTGTATGTTCAGAGGGCCAGGAATACCACCACCTCCTGCAAACCACAGAGGGACCCATTCTTAGGCAAGGAGAGGGGGGCCCTTGGGGCTTCTCGAATTACAGGCATCACAGAAGTTGCCTCTCTTGCTTATCATTTGCTGATTGATGAATTAGCTCACATCCTCTGGATGAAGAAATGGCAACACATTTCTAATAATTATATTAATATCACATAATTTCACAAATCTGTTTGCTACCCACATCCACAGAGTTAATGTTTAAAAGTTTGAAAAGTATTACAATTGATTTGTTTCACAGCTGATCAGATTTCTTCATTCCAGCCACATATAATAAAGAAAATATTTGCTAACATTTGGGTGCTGATGGTGTACCAGGCACCAACAGAAGCGTTTGCCACAATCCTATGAGGTAGGCACTAATAACAGACACCTTTTACAGATGAGAAAACTGAGGCCCAAGAGAGCTTAAGTAACTTGCCAAAGTTAACACATTTAAGAAGGGGTGGGTCCTCCTGCCAGACAAACTCCCACAGGATCCACATAGCCCAGGAGGGCCACTTGGCCTTGGCCTTGCATGGAAAGCCTTAAATTTAGATATTTGACATTATCTCCACACGAGGGTACATAGGTAGTCATAGAAATGCACCAGAAAACTGAAAGAAGTCTGTTATACAACTTGGCCCACACTGTCCTTAGTAACATATATATCTTGTCATAATATAGTAATATAATATATACACATGTATATACATATATACACACTTGTGTTATATTTATATAATATGCAGTTATGGTAGGTTTCATTTTTGTATACCTCAAAAAGTCATTAGTTAGGTAAACATAAATATTTTAAATATACCACAGGTTCCAAACCCCATTTTGCTACTTCTTCACTTTGTAATGTACAGAGGCCTGGCCATGTCTTGATATTGGCGAGGTCCCGGTACACGGAACCATAGCATTAGGAGAGAAACTTAGAGACGATCTTGTCCAACTTCTTCATCTCCTACATGAGGAAATGGAGACACAGAGATGTGGAATAACTTCTCCAAGCTCACACAGCTGGAACGCCCTTCTCCTGACAGATCACCCACCACCATTGCTACCTGGCTTCTGCTTCCAAGAAAGCAAGCAGAGAAGTTACACATGTGGCCACAAGTAACATCCTGGAGGCCACGAAACATTTATTTTGAGACCAATGACTCCTTCCAGTGTAATCTGGTTTTGAATATGGGGGGGTAGATTACATGTCTATAGAACTTTTCAAGTTTCAAAACCCTATTGGAGCTGAGAATCAATACTGAAGCTCATGACCACCGTGGGAGGGATGTGGGCAGGCATTGCGATTTCTCCTTTGCAGATGGGGAAGCGAAAGTCAGGAAAGGTTGCTCACCTTTCCCGAGGTGACTCTGCCAGGTAGTGGCAGAACCATTACCAGTATAGGACTCCAGGCTTGGAACAGTGCGCTAACCCTACTGCTTTCCTGCGTTCCGGTACGTCTGACAGGAATTACAGACGAGAACAGCACAAGCATTTCTGTCTTCCCGATGCTATTCATAAACCATTTGAAACCCAGTGTGTTTTTTTTTTTCTGAAAGAAACTATTCTTCCTGTAATCAGTAACTTGGCAAAAGAGATCACTAGATCTTCTAAATGATATTCCTAGAGTAAACGCTATTTCAGGATGGATACTAAGCATTTCCAATGTTCTTTAGGTGTTTCCTTTCCATGGTGAGGTGTAAGATATATTTAAATCAAGCTTAGTCTGGGAAACCAGCACATTGCAATTAAAAATGCAGCCCTTTAGTCTCACAATTCTCTGTCTAAAGCCCTTTTACAAAAGAGGGTATTTTAATTCAATAAATAAAAGACAGACACGTCCAACTTTCCTACTGAAGGAGGCATAGTCACCACTTGGAGCTAACATACATAACAGAGAAAATACACAAACAAATAGCGTTTGATCTTGCTTTGCTGCAGGGTGTTTTCATCTTTCAAGAGACGGAGGGAAAAACAACCTCAGAACTTTACCACTAAAACTTCCAAATTTATTGCAATGCAACGTAATGGCAAAATGCTATTTTCTTAGCGCTCACATTTTTGAATAACCACCACGGCCAAGAATGCCTGGTTTTATTTTTACAATAAACCCAAAGAAAATCTGGAATTCCACTCTCGATCTGGGGATGGCAAAGATGCCTGGGTTTTTTGGAGGAAACGATCAAGTCTAACTATTCAATCTTATCCTCTCTGTTTAACCTGTGTGCTTGAGTCATTTATTCCATGTTTATACTAGTTTGACACAAATCATACTTAAAAGAGATTTTATACCCTGTTTCCCTGGGCAAAGTTGAGCTATAATAGTAGACTTAACAATACCAGCCTTTTCTCCGGCTTATCAGTTAAAGAAGCTTTCAGCCTAAGAAAACACTTCCAGTAGAAACAAGATACAGAATTGTACAACTAGCTACATTCCACTGAGATCTGTCTGAGTAGAGAGAAGTTTAGAACCACACTAAATCATTTCTCTTCACTTAGCATCAATGTGTCCTTTTCTCATACTGCTTTTCGTACATTGTTGGAAGCAATTCGTTACACTGCTATCATATTCCATAGAGGAAGCAAGGTATAAAAAAGGGCAGCATAATAAAGAGACTTATGTCATACTTTCCAACTTGTTTTAACCATAATAACATTGGTTTAAAAATACAGTCAAAAGTCTTGTTCTAATCTTATCTCAGCACAATTCATTTATAGTGGATCTACATAATATTAGTTGTTTACAAGGATGTCAACTCCCCCCACCCCCTCCCAATTCTCCTGAGACTAAAATTTGTACAGACTGATTACTTGGTCAAGGTATGTATTGTAGTTTCTTAATGATAAATACATTTTAAGGTTTTTATAATAAGAAATGGAAAGCAAACTATCTACATAGCTTAGTAATTCATCAGACATACCTTGTTTGAAGAGAGCAATTTTTTTCAAAAATTTTCCACCACACAGAATGGATATCCTTTTTTCCTTAAGCTTTTCTGCATCACAAATCCCATCCAAATTATTCTAAAGAAGAAAAAAGAAGCGGTCCAAGCAACTTTTCTCTTTTCTCAGAGGAGCTAATCAAACATTCCCATCAACCTCTCAGCACTTTGAAAAGCACATTTTAGCCACACACACACATGCACATGCTCACACACACACACACACACACTCACACACTGCTTCTCACACTGCTTTTAGTGCTGAATTAGGCGGTCCTCTTTCAAATTTCCACTCCCACTTGCTTTTCTTTGGGGTAAGGATTTCTAAATATTCTTTTCTAGCCTAAAGCACACATTTTCAGTAAGCAAATTCTATAATTAGAAAATCTAAAAAGTGGAAGAGAAGTGCCTCAATAAAATGGGAAATAAAACATATACTCTAAAAAGGACTTACACGGGGCAATTAAATTTTCTCTTTCTTTTTCAAATGCCAGTGAACAGCTGATTAAACTGCATAAGGAAAGAACACTGAACACTGTGCCAATACCACCAAGCTGGTTCTACTGGGCTCTCACTCTTAGAGTTGAAAACACTTACTTTTCCTACATAGTAATACTATTTTTGTTGTTGTTGTTGTTTAGCTCACTTTGGTCCTTTCTGCGTTTTGGCAAGCTTAATGAAATGACTGTAGTCCATGCTGCTAGTAACAGGACACAAGATAATAATAGTGGGAAGCAAAACCTGCTCATGTTTCAAAAAACTGATGGTGGCGAGCTCACATCGTAAGTGAAATCTGCCGATTTTAGTTATTATTGGTGTCATCAATTAAAGTGAAGGGATTCAGACTCAAAACATGCACGGGCATTAGCATATCACGCCATTTTAAAAAAGACATACACGATAGCGTACATCTGGCACTCCTTGAGATTCAAATGGGTATCAGTGTGACCCAGCATCTCCTCTCCAGCAGGGCGGGAGGTAGCACAGAGCCATTTCTCCTCCTGCTGGGGAATGTGCACTCCCGCAGCCCCACAGGAGAGCCCTCCCTCCCAGCAGCCCTATCTGTGGGCGCTGAGATCGCTCCTTATTTAAGATTAACATTGGAATGCTGTCTAACTTTTCCCCCTCCATTTGGTTCTGCATTTAAAATATTTCTTAGTTCTGTTTCTTCCTCCACAAAACCCTGAACCTAAGACCATGTGTAGGAAGGATGGTGCTGCCCACATGGAGGACGTCTTGTTCCATCATCAGGGGGTCAGGGAAGGTTCAGATGAAATGGCAGCCCAAACCAAATTAATAATAATAATAATAATAATAATAATAATAATAATTGCCATTTATCGAATACTTACTTTTGCTAGGAATGGTGATAGCCCTCTACATATATCACCTCATTTAATACTTACAAGAACCTGAAGAGGCCAGTACTATTATTCTCATTCCTCAGATAAGAGAACTGAGGCTCAAAGAGATACTAACTTTTCACCC